TCTGTCCTGCGCGCGCACCACTGATGAACGATTCGTGCCAATTTAGGGCCAACGCACTAGTCCGTTTTAGTTGTTCGTTCGGCCCGGTCCTTACGCTAGTAATATATAAGCAATGGAAATAATTATACTTTTTAACTATACATATGGGCTAGCGCTGCAAAATGCTACGTAGTAGTTTCGGATTCAATTTATTTATATAATTTGCATATTGACTTATAAATTTGCATGCCACAAGAAATACATCATACTTGAAGTGACGCCCAGGGGTATAGCAATTTATAAGAGGGTAGTTTTTTTTAAAAATACTAAATACCAACTAAGATATTTCTTAACGTTACTAGTCTATCAAATTATTTCTTTATAATTATAGCAATGGAAAGGCTAAGAGGTAATTTGTGGCCTAAATCCGTTTAAAGCATTGACTTAAATCTTGAAATCATTGGTTTAAAGTCAATTTTACTAATCTCGGGCACAGACTCAAAACACCATTTTTGGTGTTTTGCAGGAAACATTTCGGAAAGTGTGCGCAGAAACTGCGAGCTGGTCTCCTTTGCCCCTTTGTTTACGACATACCACGCAATCACGCATACACATCAAACAGTTTGCTTCCTTCATTGTTTGCAATGCATACAGCAGGAGTGGGATATGCCAGCATCTGACAATGCGGGTGTCTTCAAGATAATAAGATGAATAGGCTTTTTTCAAGCTAAGTCAAAGCGCTTTTATATCTTCGGCTACTTCACTACAAAACATCAGGTGGAAAAGTTGTAAGCCACTGGCTAATAAGTTAAATAAAAAGAAATGAAGAAATTTACCTTACATATTAGCTAAATAATATCAATTTAAATAAAAATCAAAGATATTTTATAATTGTCATATATTTCCGACAAATACACACTTTACAGTCGGTATAAAAATTAGAACATCATTAATAATCAATCAGTCACGAATTTTTAATTGGCAGTATACCATCCTAGGCTCTTGTACATTTATTACGAACATAAAACTGGTAACATAATTCACACATCTTTTATTTACTCTTTAATAATTATACTCACTGTAAAGATAAAATTCATTAGTTCATTCATATGATATACATCATAACAAGCATCCATTATATATTCGAATAGAAATTAAATATTAGAATTATTATATTTTTTCTTAAAATCAGCCTACTCAAAAATCTATAAATCTATGTTAAGCATATCCTAAATACATATTTAAAAATTCCAATAATTATACTCAGAATTAATAATGTATTAATTTAAACTAGAGTCTACAATTACATATTTTAAAGTTGCTACTCAGGCCAACAAAGTGAGATAGATGTAACGCTTCGTATACAGAATGGGTCCCACATATATGCAATAAATGAAACCATATACTTGTTATCGCCTTTGCTGACGATATACAAAAAATGAACGTAATCGGTCCAGTAATTATGTCAAAAAGTAGAGTTTTAATTTTAAGCAAATTTGAACACTCTATAGAATTGGGTCACTAAGTCAATGATTCAATGAACTTGAATCCTTGAACATTAAAAAGCGACGTTGCCATGCAGTGCAAACTATTGGTATTGCGACATATCGACAGCGGTGTCTTTTGTCGGCGTGCCACCCGCGTGCAACGTTGTCACTCTTCCAAGGGGTCAAGGTACGTTGTCTAAACAGAGTGTTCACTTTTACTGAATTTATTTTAATATTTATTTTGTTTGAAAATTTCACTTTTTTATTTTACGGGTTTTAATTTAATATTTAATTTTTCTACACTTCTACGGACTAGTATTACTTGTGGTTTCATTTATTGCATATATGTGGGACCCATTCTGTATATTTAAAGTGACTAAAATCATGCTCAACTTCTTGATCTGCACTCACGCACACATTTTTCGTCTTTCTTTACCAACCTGTAAAATGTTCACTGCCGAACGCACACATATGCACCTAAAATCACGTTGGTTGCAAATGATTTTAGAAGCATGTGTATTGAGTGCGTATTCTTTTAATAAGTTGAGCATGGTTTTGGTTTAGTTTTGACGCCACTTTAAATATATACGCAGCGGGCCATGTTTCATAATAAAATTACTAAAGGCTGTTATAAAACTATATTTACTGAACACTTAAAAACTGCCATTATTGGCAGAAATTCACGTCACATTAGACAAATGTAAAAAGTATGGATACATAGAACAGTAGTTACAAACTTATAATCAAGTAATTCTGTTACAATAACTAAATTGTGCGCTCATCTTAATCATTAATAATAGTTCCATTGTACTGATCTGTAATTACTACCTATACTGTTCATTGTGAATATTTAGTTAAAATTTCTTATATTTATATTATTCCAATGACAGCAACATCTGCTTAATTTAAAGCTTAATTACTTAACCTCCAGTGTTCACTTTGTTTAGGCAGTTAAATGTCCATGACGTCTCTCCGAAATCATGCGATGTTTCCGTTTCATGTTATCGGGAATGCTTACTGCTGGACGTCAAAGGATTGCTAAACTAAACTTATATTTTTTAAATAAATTAACTTGATACATGAATAGCTTTGGTTTGGCGTACCTATTAAACCAAATTAACATAGCACATTGATTTATAAAGGTATGTATTATTAAAATACACCAGAGTTCAATGTTCATTAAATAAATTTACCGTTTTACAACTCTCCGCAGTTTCCGTCGGCGCGGACGCGGGTCTCTTCGTTTTATTGCGCCGCGACGCGGGCAGCGAGTGTTTAACATTAGTATAGTTTGGTATAGTTGTTACGGTGAACTTGTAATAGTCCACTCAAAAGGTTCAAATAATTAAACTTTAAAAAAAAGTAATGTCAATAATATCAAAGAATTAAAACCCAGTTTTCAGTATTAAATTACGTATAAATTATTTTATTCGGTTTAAGTTTTAAAGTCGGTGTTTATTTATTTATTTTAAATTAATTAGTACTGTATTTTAAATAAAAAGCTAAGCTGAACTTATCAAAAATGTGACCATTAAATGTAACGTTATAATTAATATTTATATGTTGTTTATAAAACTACAATTATAATGTGAATACAATGTCGCAAATACAAATCTTGTTGTATTTTATCAATTCTGATAATACACAAGCTTAAACTATAAGTAATACATAGGTCATCATCGTCATCAATATGAACAAAATGTCAACATCTCATTGCTGAAAGACTAGATATTTATTACGAGTATCATAATGAGATTCTTCAATTCATCTTAAATACATCTCACACACACACACACAAAAAGCATTTTATCATACTTTAAAAATTTTAGAATACTTCAGAAATTCGAGTGTTTAAGAGTTCACAATATGTTTATAAAAAAATATCTTATACTACAAACATTAAGGCTGCAATAACCTTTTGCTAAGACACTAGTAGATTAGTTAATAAACTACGGATATACGCATAGAATACATACATAATAGAACGGGGGAGTGGGCGGAGCCCGTGTAGCCACTAACATGTCACTAACACCGCAGAATAAATAATAGTACTACGTACAGAAGTTTCACTCTTTTAATGTTGACTGCTTGCCGACGTTTAATAGCCTACATAATTTTTATTTATTAGATAAATCGCGCTCGCAAGCTAAATAAAACTTTATCGCTGCGCGAGAGTGTCCGTATTACTTTGCACATTTTCCTCTTCCTACGTTACGGTGGACTTTCAGTCGTTATGGAGGGATGTCAATAAAGAGTAACAAAATACATTGCGAAATGTTAATTAGGTTACTTAGGTGAAATACCTATTCTGACTATGATCGACAGACCATATTTTCACACCTACGTGAGTTCTGCGATGCCTAACGCATGCAACTTGCAAGGCCATTCGTCGGGAATCGCGACGCTTAGTTCGGAAGGAAAAGGTAGATAGTGTAAACCATTGAGTTAATATAAATCAATGGTGTAAACAACAAATAAACTTGAAATACGATTTCTAACAGAAATGTAATCGTATTCTACTTAGTTAAAAATTTTGTTAATAAACAAAGTTTTGATTTCAGTGTTTTGTGTTATTTTAGCTTAAAATATTTTAAGCTAAAATAACAGCTTAATATTTTAATACAAAAGGCAAGTATACATATGTACGTAAGCAGATACTTGGATAGTGAAGTAAATTTCTACTAAATTTTGTAATAAAGTTCGTAGATATTAAATAAATTATTACTTAATTCTTTTTTCCTATAAGTACCTATCTAACAAAAAAAAATTAAATATATTCACGTTTCATAACTTCCTACTAAAATCCTTCGGTAATAAAGAATGATATACAGTGAAACTTGGTTAAGTGGGACCTGGATAAGAGAGAAACCTCCATAACTGGAACTCATGCTGAGGTCCCAACACTTTGGCACTGAATTACCTCTGATAGTGGGACGAGGTAAACCTCTATATTTGGGATTTGTTTTTTCGATTTATCATCATAGTTACCTCTATAACTGAGACAGCGAGTAAATTTTATATACATAAACCTCTGTAACTGAGATAACATTGTTTGTTTACTCATTCTTATTCTACCCACAAATTCCACACGTAATTCCAAGTACGTAAGTACAAATTTTGAGCTTCAATTACCTTCAGTTTTAGTTTCGCTTTACTATCATACAGATGTTTATTTGAAAAATGTCAAAACGAAAGCTACAATCGTTATCATTACGTGAAAAACTGAAGTTAATATCCGTTTATGAAAGTGGGAAGACACGCGAAGAAGTTTGTGCCGAATTTAATGTGCCAAAATCTACTCTTTGTAGAATAATTCAGAGTAAACATAAAATTGAATCACAATGTTCTGAAGGACAAGGAAAACTAAAACGTGTACGTTTATCAGAATATCCTGAACTTGAACAGTGTTTGCTAACATGGGTTAAGCAACTTCGTAACAAAAACGTTCCGGTATGTGGACCGATGATTAAAGAAAAGGCACAATATTTCGGGCGAAGGCTCGATGTTCATAATTTTTGTAGCACCAATGGTTGGATGGAAGAGTTTAAGAAAAGAAACGGTATAGTTTTCAAAGCAATTTGTGGAGAAAGTAACGCTGTTGATGTTAACAAATGTAGCCAATGGATTGAAGACCTACCAGTTCTATTACGCAATTATTCTGCTGATGATATTTTTAACGCAGACGAAGCGGGTTTATTTTATAAGTGTCTACCCAATAAAACTTTTACCTTAAAAGGTGAGTCTTGTCATGGCGGGAAACTTAGTAAAGAGCGCATTACAATACTTCTAGGTGCTAACATGTCAGGAACTGAAAAGTTGCCTATCCTATTAATCGGAAAATCTAAGTCTCCACGATGTTTCAAAGGTGTAACAAATAAAACTTTGCCGGTGAATTACCAAAATAATAAAAAGGCATGGATGACATGCACTATTTTTTCTGATTGGTTGAAGAATATAAACCAAGAAATGAAAGCTCAGAAGCGAAAAATTTTAATGTTTGTGGACAATTGTACTGCTCACAATAATATGCGCGAGCTACGCCACATTAAACTCGTGTATCTGCCTGCGAATACGACAAGTAAATTGCAGCCAATGGATCAAGGCATCATCAACAATTTCAAAATTTATTACAGAAAAGAAGTTGTTCGACATGTTATTAAATCTATAGAAGACAATCAGTACAAATCGATGTTCTTCAGGCGATGAGGTTTGCTAGGAAAGCTTGGTTTTCTGTGACCAAAACTACTGTAGCAAACTGCTTTAAAAAAATCTGGATTTAAATCTGAAGTAACTGTAGCTGAAAGCTTACAAGAGGAGGACGAAAATTTAGAAACTGATCCTGAAGATTGGAACTTAGCCATCAGCAACGACAATAATCAACAGCCAACATTCCAAGATTTTATAAACGTCGATGACGGTTTAATAGTTTCAGGAGAACTTAATGAAAGCGACATTGTTCATGCCTTCTCGTCTTCTTCATTGGAAAATGAAGAAGAAGACGATGAAATGAGCGCGGAAGTAAATTTAGTAAAAATTTCTAAACGCGAAGCAGTAAAAGCACTAGAAACTTTGCACAGTTATTTTGAAATGTCATCAATTGGTGACCAAAGCATATTTGATAAAAATTATAATATCGAAAAACATTTGATGGCTGATACTTCCAAACGACAAACTAAAATGACAGATTTTTATAATTGATACATTCTGTATCCATATTCGTACATATTACGTGTAAAAACGTGCTTGAATATTTTTGTTGATTACATTTGTATGATTACCTTTAAGTACTACATATATTTTTTTTATTAAAACTCATTTACATACATAACACGTTATTTTATTTAATGATCGCACCTGTATAACTGAAATAACCTGTATTCTCACCTCTATTAATGGAACCCTCTGTATGAGACAGATATTTATTTATACCTGTATATCTGAGACATTGGGTAAGTGGAATACCTCTATAAGTGAAACGACATTGCAGGTCCCTTGATGTCTCACTTAACCAGGTTTCACTGTATCTGATATATTTTGTTGGTCATTTAGCGTCTATCCACGCAAAAATTATAGTAGGAACGACGTTTTGCCATATTAAAATTTATTAAATAATGGGTTATATACAAATATATAGTTCTTAATTTACATTAAAACTTTTGAACTACTTTATCCTATAATTAAATATACTAAACGCTAAACAAAAACTATTTCAACAATATTTACAAAAAGTCATATACGTAAACAGCGTTAAAAAACTTTAACATTCAATCGGCTCCAACGCGCTAGACCTGACTGCGTTATTTCTCCCGGGCGCGTCGCGATTTTAGGTAATTATTTCACGTAGGTAGCAAGAGTGATAGAGGCCTGCTAACACGTCTATTCACACATATAACTGTCAACACGAGATGTGTTTTGACGTTACAATCGTTTCAAAATTTCGCATGCAAATTATTTAGAAAATGCCAAATTGTACTCTATTTACAAATAAATATGTATTTAAATCCGTCTGTCAACACAGCGAATCGGGTTTGTAATAGTGATTAACTGATAATACAACGTAATTGCTTGTATGTGTGCTCCCGGCGTTTTATTATGTATTAAAGTATTCTATGGATATACGGATATATTATACTACGGATGACATTTAGAATTATGCGTATAAATTTAGAATTTGAATATTTTTATATTGCATAAATTAGGAACATCATTCATGTGATTGGTTTATATGTATAATACACTGGCAAGTAATAAAATTAATAACGACTAGAGTGCAGAATTATACAAATTGGCCAAAACAATTAGGCGAATGACAGGAATACGGTTTAGGCGCCCGCATCCCGCCTCTTTGCCCGCATCCCGCCTCTTTCCCCGCGTTTCCCCTAGTGACCAATCACTATTCCGGTGTTCCCTCCCTAGTTCTAATGACGTCTTAGCTGTCATGCGTCTAATTGTTTTGGTCACATAGTAATTAAACACATATTTTTAATTTAAACATTTCATCTTATGCTCTACCATGTTATGTACATAAATTAATATTTAGAGCCTCAAAATATAATTTATTTTTGTTTTCCATATTCCAAAGTTTGTCAATACCAATATAAAATTTGATATTATGACTAAAACAAACTACTCAAAACAGCATAAATTTTATTTTAATAATACGCAACCGTTTGTATTACACATGATTGAAAAGCACTTCGCTGATCGTTTTTAATAAATATACCCAAGACCAAAAATATTACTTTCTTTTAATTGTGATTTGAAAACACTTCTGTGTTTACTACCTATTAAAAGTAGGTTTTTTGGCAAGTATAATGGGCGGAATAAAGGTAAAAAATATATGTTGTATTTTACTAATTACATGAAAAATGTAGGAATTACATACTTCAGCTACATACTACATTTAAATTTTATTTTATCTAATTAATAATAATAATAGAGAGCCGTGGTAGCTCAGTGGTTAACGCTCGCTGTAAATATAACAGAACGCGAGAGTAACCCGGGTTCGATCCCCGCCGGCACCAATGAAATTGTTAATTGCAATTTTAAGTGCTGATTTACCACGTGCTCGGCGGTGAAGGAAAACATCGTGAGGAAACCTGCATGTCTGAGGAATAAGAAAAAAAAATATTTCGAAGACATGTGAAGTTCGTCAACACGCATTTGAGCAGCGCGGCGGACACTTCCTTGCCCTAAACCCTCTCAGAAATGAGGGGAGGCCTGAGCCCAGCAGTGGAACGTATATAGGCTGTAACTTTACTTTTTTACTAATTATCTAATTTGGCATTTTTAAGTAAAAGGCTATGTTTAATATTATATAAATGATCATGGTCATCATTACATAGATTATACCTAATGTTTTTTTAATGAAGGACAACGTCTTACACTCACTGTATGCTAATATTTCTAGGCATTATTTTATCTATGCCAAATGAAATACGCAAGTCACACTAATCTACAATATATGTCATGTAATAAAAACCCCATCTGATCCAAAAGGTATGTTAAAAGAGTTATAGACCAAGGACTAGTTACTTCTTTTTATAAATTAAAATAAACTCGTCAGTTTAATTTATTTCTCACCTTAAATTTCATAATACCTATACAAGCAACCTGAATTCGAAGCCCACGTATTAATAAAATGTTAAGTTAAATTAATTGACTTTTAATTACTTAAGTATATAATAAATAATTAATATTTAGCTTCATATCTCTTCATTAGGCCAAACCAAAAACAAAACTTCATAGATATCAGTTTACCATCATTCATTTTGAAAAGGGGTTATTAGTTAGGAACACACAGTACACACAGTTTACACAGTAAATGTGTGGAGTGGAAATTATAATTTCTTTTTTAGTGAGATAAATAGTATATAATAAATAATAGATAATAACAGAGATAAATGAGATCGCCGATCACATTGACTGACTAGATTTGTTTTCGGGTTAATTTTAATGGCGATAGCCTTTATAAAATATATTGCTAACTCTTTCTTGGGTTCAGTTCGATTTTCAATTTGCGAAACAAAAGATATTGTTGGAGAAACCCGGCGATCCCCTCTTTAAACAGACGGACGGGAAAGGTAAAATGTAGTTTAAAAGGCTCCGAATTTATATTTTTATTAAAGGTAGGCTCAATATGGATTTCACCGAATACGAATATTCGGCCGAAAGTTCGGCAAAACTTTTACCGAACCGAATATTCGGCCGAACATTATTCGGCAGGATCACCTCGGTACCTAACCAATTTATGTTGAAACTTGTTACCTTATAGCGCGCGGATTGGTGCCTGACCCTGCCCCTCACTCCCCCACCACACCTGATATGTTATTGCATCATCTAGTACCGAGCAAATTGCCGGCACATGCTTACGTTTTGACTATTTTAGTGAGAAAAAAAGTATTTCGTTGTGTTATTCTTAGTGAAAATTGATAATTATATTAAAAATGAGTGGCAGGAGATCTGATCTGCAGACATGGCAATGGCATTACTCAATGCGTACATTTCAATACAGTGAACACTTTGAGTACCACTTAACGAATGTTCGATGATTTAGCCGAATATTCGGTAAAGCTGCCGAATATGCCGAATACCGAATATGAAACGAATATTCGACCCATTTCTAATTTTAATGTAATATATCAGAGTGAAAAAAAAATTATTTAATTTAACTATAGTCAGGACTCAGTACAATATGTATAGTTGTTAATCAGTATTGTGTTATTAACATTAAATTCAGTAAAAGTAAATAACGACAAGAAAGAAACCTTCATATCCATACTCTGAGTATGAGAAGATAACTTGTAATTTTTTTTTGAAAAAAAAAATATTAACAATGCTATAAACATTACTAATATTCCCCTTAGCCACTCGTGGTAAGCTTTATTGCTTGTATTACGGGTGGTTCACGCTAGTAGTCGAATGGCGGATTCGAACCCACGACCTTTTTAGGCTACTGTCGCTTATATTGACTTTGTATCAGATGGGAATCGTTTTTACTAAAGAGTTACTAACCAAATTGTATAAAATATAAATAAAATACCTGAATTGGATTCTAAATTTAAAAACTTATTTGCCATAAAACAGTAATCATAGGCGAATCCTACACGCGTGATATTTATCACGATCCTTGGATCGCGATCCAGGATCGTGATATTTATTGAACGTGTAGTATCAATTATTGATGGATCGCGATACGGATCACAGAATTTCTAGATTTCCGAAAATCCATATCGCGATCCAAGGATCGTGATAAATATTTCGCGTGTAGTGTTGCTGCGATACGGATCGCGTCAGTCTGCTTTGGAGAAGCGATGGAAGAGGACGACTTTTGTAGCGATGCGGGCGAAATCGCAAGCGAAAGCGAGAATCCTATTTCGACGGGACTATCTACAATCTATCAAAAATATTTACATGCTTTTATATTATGATTGGAAACAACACCCATATTATGGGACACATCGTGTGATGGTTTTAAAAACAATTGTAAGCGCATAAAGGCACTACAGAAGTTACTACCAATTTATAAAAAAAATAAAAAAGACGTGTGGCACTCGGGGACTGCCGCGGTAAAGCTATTGCATAGCATTTTGTATCAACTTATGCAATTATAATTATTTATTTATTTTATTTATGCAGTATTTCTTTTTCTTTGATATTAATTCAAGTTACTTAGGTTAATCCAATCAAATTCAACCAGATTTAACCGAACCCGCGTTATAACGAACTCACTATTTGTGAAAAAAACTGTATCACCGGACCGCGTCGCAAAAAACTCAGGTTCGCGCAGTACATACGTCAGGGCGGCCGTACGGCAATTATATTAACAAGACGCGCAACTACTCAGTTCCACGCTCCACGGCAAGATTTGTCACTTATTATTTATTGTCCAATTAATTGTCTTTAAGTTCAAATGGCACGCTCTATTAACATAAGTCTAAGACAAAACAAGGAGACTTTCAATATATGAACAACCCGGCTTCGCGCAAAAACTCTCGCGACCCCTGTAATGCGATCGGAGAACGTCATCGGCGCAGGCGCCGCGTGCCTAGCTAGGAGCGCGCCCTAGCGGCGGGCCGGGTGCAGCCCGGCCCCGACGTCTGCTCCCTAGCTCGGCTCGATGCCAACAGGGGTGACTAAAGATGGGCGAAACTGTTATATTTTTCTAATTCGTTATGTTGTTGTAATATATTTTTCTA